TGCATACGAGAGGAGCATGGAGGATACCATGAGACAACTAGACGCGCTTGAGAATGCTATCCAAGGTGCAACTAACACAAAAAGTGATGTTAAGAGCAGTGCTAGATCATTGGGGGTCGCGATAAGAGACCTATATAAGCTAGCAAAGGCAATTGGGATGACCAGATCTCCCGACTTACTGGAGCAACGATTGCAGAGTGGGCAGCAACAGCTATATACCCAGCAAACGAGGATGATGTCGGCGATTAGGGAGGTCCAGATAGCCCAACAACAACAAGCGGACCTACTAAGGGCAGTAGGAGTTGAGAGTAAGTCGGAGGAGGTGCTCCTGGCAGTCAGAGCGCTAGGAACAGAGTTGGCGGGGCAATCAGTAGCTGTTGCACGCCTGGAGGAAGGACAATCCATCAAGGAAAGCATTCTAAGCACTGGCCGTCAGGAAAATGCGGCTACTAACGAGGAAGAGAATAAGGGAGACACGGGATGGAGCGATGTGGTCAAGAAGAGACCACAGAGAAAGACTGAGCGGCAGAAGGGACAATTCCAACAGCCATCGGAGACAAAGCGGCCACCCCGGAGCCGCCCCCAAGCGGTACTGGTGAACGTGAGCCGGGAGGACTTTCCGGAGCTCGCTAAGAAAATACGGTCAGGGGTCAGACAAGAAGTGGTTGGAGACAGAGTCATTGGCATGAGACAAGTCAGGTCCGGCGGCCTGCTGATTGAGGTAAGGGGCGACACCGCACAAGTCGAAGCAATTAGGGCGGAGGTGGCCAGATCAGCGGGCGAAGAAGTGTCAGTCAAGTCACTCCAGGCGATGACAATGGTGGAGGTAAGGGATCTGGACCAGTGGTCAACTAGCGAAGAGATATCAGGAGCCATAAACGCTGCCACCGACGCGGATCAGGCCGCGATCAGAGTGCTGAGCATTCGACAGCAGTTCGGAGGCACTCAGGCTGCTGTGATCCTCGTTTCCAGAGACGTGGCAGGTAAACTGCTGGCCAGTGGACGGCTTAAGGTAGGTCTAGTTAGCTGCAGGGTTAGGGTTCGGGAAGACCGAATACGGTGTTTTCGGTGCTTGGAACACGGGCACCTTGCGAAGAACTGCTCCGGCGTGGACAGGACAGGCTGCTGCTGGAGATGCGGCGATGGCGGTCATAAGGCAGCAGTCTGTGCAGCCACTGTCGAGGTTAGAACGGCCTTCGTTAAGACGCTCGCGGGTGGAGTGTCGGTGGAGTGCGGGGACGAGGAGAAGGCGGCCTTCAAGGCACCGCTGGGCGCAAACGCAAATAAATGATTAACGTCCTGCAGATCAACCTGCACCGGTGCGGTACCGCGCGTGAACTCCTCAACGCCACCGCGGCCGAAAAGGGGAGCGATCTTCTCCTGATTTCTGAGCCTCCTAGAGGCCCGCCCGATGGTCCCAACAGGGTAACCGACCTAAGTGGTAATTGCGCGATCGTGCTGCCTGCTCGGTCGTCGGTCGCGGTGGCGAGCAGAGGCGCGGGCTCTGGCTTTGCCTGGATCAGGACAGCCAACTTGGTGGTGTACAGCTGCTACATCTCGCCAAACCAGACGACAGACCAGTTTGGAGAGAGCCTGGACCGCCTAGAGGACTCGGTCCGACGGCTGGACCCCGGAACGGATGTCCTGGTGGCGGGAGATTTCAACGCCAAATCTCACGAATGGGGATCGGCAGTCGAAGACGGCCGCGGCTCGGCACTGGCGGACCTCGTGGCGAGTCTAGGGCTGGTGTCGGCTAACGTAGGAAGCAAGCCTACGTTCCAAAGGCGTGGTGCGCAATCGGTGATCGACGTGACCTTTGCCAGCGCCTCCTTGGCTTCTAGAATTCGGGGGTGGGAGGTCCTAGACGACTTCACCGACAGCGACCACAAATACGTTACATTCGAAGTCACCCCCCCCTCGGGACGAGCTGCGACAACTGCAAAGAACAGGTCGGATAACACAAACCCAGGCGACCGGCTCGGCTGGGCCTGCCGCAAGCTTGACCCCGAGGCCCTGACCATGTTCCTGCGGTCAACACCCATCCTGGGGATATCTGGGGAGCCAACGGCGGACCAGGCAGCGGAGGCGTTGGATGCGCATCTCGCTCGCGCGGCTGACGCGTGTATGCCCCGCAGATCTGACCGACCTGGCGGCAAGAAACCGGTCCACTGGTGGTCAACTGAAATTGCCCAACTGCGGTCGCGGTGTCTGGCGGCCAGGAGGGCCTACCAGAGGTCGCGCGGGCGACGGGTTGCCACCGAAGGCGTGGAGGAACTGCGGCGCGCCTTCCAAGACGAGCGCAAGTCCCTCAGGCTCGCTATCAGGAAGGCCCAGGAACATAGCTGGAGGGAACTCTGTAGGGCGGTCGACAACGACCCGTGGGGCCTACCCTATAAACTGGTCACCAAAAAGCTGAGGACGGGGAACTCGGGGGCCCAGGCGTGCGGTCGTGAAGCCATGATCGTCGACGGACTGTTCCCGGATGACCCACCCGTGGACTGGGCAAGGGTCCCGCTCCCGAGAGCGGGCGGAATGCTCGCACCGCTATTTTCCGCCACCGAACTAGAGGCGGCGGCCTGTCACCTCCCCCCCGGGAAGGCTCCTGGCCCGGACGGGGTTCCAAACGTCGTGCTGAAGCGAGCATGTGAATTGATCCCTGCAGTGCTCTTGGACGTTTTCAACCGCTGCCTGGGGCAGGGGGAGTTCCCTCGGCTGTGGAAGAGGGCCAAACTCGTGCTACTGCACAAAGGGGCGGACAAACCTCCTGATGAGCCCTCCAGCTATAGGCCGATCAGTCTGCTGAGCACCGTCGGGAAACTGTACGAGAGGCTGTTGCTCGGGCGGGTCAACACCCACCTCAATAACATGGAGGGAGGGTTGTCGGACTCCCAGTTCGGATTCCGCGTCGGGCGCTCCACTGAGGACGCGCTAAGGGCAGTGCTCAAGGCGACAGACGAAGCCGCCCTGGTCCATGCCAGAAATAGGGGCATCTGCGCCGTCGTCTCCCTGGATGTGAGAAATGCCTTCAACTCGGCCCCATGGAGGGGGCTGGACGTAGCGCTTGCTCGCAAAGACCTGCCCACATATCTGCAGTCCGTCTTCCGGTCTTACATGAGTGACCGCAAAATGTTGGTGCCGGGGGGATCGGTCAGGCCAGTCACCGCCGGGGTCCCACAGGGCTCGGTGCTCGGGCCGACGATGTGGAACATTTTCTACGACCCGCTCATGACAATTCCAGTCCCCGCTGGCGTTCGTCTTATCGCCTTTGCGGACGATGTCGCAATCGTCGGCTCAGCCAGAACGGGGGAGCTGCTTGAGCAGGCGCTCAATCCAGCGCTCGAGGCAGTTTCGGCCTGGATGGCGACAAACGGCCTTTCCTTGGCGGTCCACAAGACTGAAGCTGCGGTCCTCACGAGGAAGTGGTCGTACGCGCTACCGCGACTGACAATCGGCGGGACGAACGTCAGGATCTCGGAAGAGATTAAGTACCTGGGGGTGGTGCTTGAC